ATAATAATAATAATAATAATAATAATAATAATAATAATAATAATAATAATAATAATAATAATAATAATATTTATTTGGCAATCGTTTTTCGAATCAGGGTTGGAGCAAATTGTTTCACACTCGGAGATTCTTCAGTATGCTTGATATTGATCAAATAGATGGAAACGTTGAATTAAAAAATGTCTGTCTTTTGTCCTTTTGTTTTATTTAAAACTAATTATTGGATCCTCTTGTTTTTTGAGATTCTTCCTCTTTAATTCTAGTAGGCCTATTACCGCAAGACGGTGTTGCGTTTATCGGTTAATTCTAGTAGGCCTATTACCGCAAGACGGTGTTGAGTTTATCGGTATTTTCATAAAGCTCTTAATATGATATTTGTTTCTTGTTCTTTCTTTTATATCTGTCTCTTATACACATCTAGATGTGTATAAGAGACAGTATATATATATATATATATATATATATGCCTATTCATGTTGTCATTGTTAATTAAATCTTGTTACGTGTTTTTCTATAGATTCGATTCAGCCAACATTGTTGTTCACGTGATATATATGACTTGTTGACGTCAGTTATCTCCGTAAACAGGTAAATGCAATATTGTTTATAATACTAGTAATTAATACTACAATTATTATTATTATTATTATTATTATTATTATTATTATGATCAATATTACAGGATAAAATTTTAATTATTTTTGTTATAGTAATCTTCCTCTTATTAGTAGTATTATTATTATCATTACTCTTATTATTATTAGTATCATTATTATTATTATCATCATCATTATCATAATTTATATCTTTATTATTAATAGATGGACTCCCGTGACTTTGGTTGACAGTGACAACGCGCTAATCTCCGTTGCACCAACAATGCCATGCAACACCCAGAGGTATCGAAATAAATAACACGACTATGTTAATTAACGCACTGGGCGTAGTCTGCTTTTAATTTAGCCTAAGTTATTATGTATTATATAACTTTATGTACCGAACTTATTGCTAGTATTGTAGGCCTACTATGTATATTTATTTTCCTGCTTCTTGCGCTGTTGACTTACATTAAATTACAATTACGGCTGTGCTATATAAGGTAATTTTAAGAAGTAATTCAAATCGTACAAAATTGCTAGGGGACGTTACATCCATTCTTTGACAACTTCATTGGTTATCTGTCCAATATATTCAACATTTTAAGTTCCTTCATAGGCAGAAGAATGAAATAGAATACAGTATACCCTCCAATTTAAAACTAAAAATGAGGGTTGATCTCCGGTCTCGGTATTCTGTTCAGTTCAGTTCAGTTTCATTTATTTCCAAAATATATACATTATACATTAAGTGGAGGAGGCTAAATAAGTTCTTGTAAATTTTACAGAACTTTAAGTTATAACCCCCCCTAAAATACAAAATTACATGACAAAAATCAAAGAATTATAATAGTATGATGAACTTAAAAAGAAGAAAAAAAATATAAGTTTAATATAAATAATTTCTATAATTTATAATTTCTATAATTTATAATAATTTATCTAATTTATAATAATTCATAATTTCAATCCAGGAATGTATAGGCCTATACTATGATGATATAATATCACATACATGATATAATATTAAAAAATACGCATTACACACACATATATATATATAATATATAATATATATATATATATATATATGTATACACACACACACATACATACACACCCCCACACATACACACAAACATACATATGCACACATATACACATATACCGGTGTCTCGCTATGTTTTGTGTAAAAATTATTGGATGCTGTAATTGTATTTGAAAAAGTGGCCTCGTTAGAGAGGTCTTGAAATTAAAAGAGTCTCATTTGGAGGACGCACTGCAACATAGAAGATATGGGAATGCTATTATTTTATTCAATATTATCACAATGTTATTTTGTTAATTGTACCTTTTTTAGTACTCCGTATAAGGTTGTGATGTCGTCGCAGGACACACCTAATGGTGAGCAATTAATCTTTCGTTAATTTATTCCTTATATTCATTGTTTGTTTATTTCTTATAGGGTCTATGATTTGATCTTAATTTTTGGCGTTTAGAATGCATTCTGAGTGTTTTATAAGTATATTCTCTTTTTAGAATCTTGAGTTTAAAATAATACCATGATTTGTATCTTTTTACGGATGGTATACTAGCGGAAAAGGTCGGTTATATGGGCCAAATCGGGAAGAAGTTAAGAGCGGCCTACAACCCCTCGCCAATGAAAGAAGCTAGAATTCCTGAAATTCTGAACCGTCCTTTCCTTGGATGCTGGTAGCCAGTTGTGTCTTCACTTCGCTTGAAATTGTAAAAGCCCTAAAATTTATAAGCCCTTTATTACAAAAACAAGTGAATGATGCCTGCCTAAATTAATTCTTGCATAAGCCACAACAATGTATAATTCTTCAATCCTTCGTCATGAAGTGTGCATTTACTCTATTAGTCTACAATGTGCCAGATTATACAACCTATATTCAATCCAATAAAAAGTTTCTACGGTAAGACAAGAATTTGAGTCAGCCAACTAAAAACTTAAAACCTCCAGAAATATTTGAATAAAATTTAAAACCCCAAATATACGTAACATGGCACTGTCTTAAATTTAAGTTTTATAAGGATAATTAAACTTTTGATTAATGAACCTTTAATGCCACGCACATTTCTACTTTTAATTAATTACCCTGCGTATTGACATTAATAGATTAATTACGTAAATAAGTACAGAGACGTCAGAAGACCACATCGATATGTTATGTGGTTTAAAAATACCACTAAATTATATCACATATTATTAAGCTTGGTTTTGATACAATCGCTACACGCTATCACCGAGAGCTTTCGGAGCCTTTCCGATTGCGTCGGAGACTGCTACGCTAGTGCAATAATTGCAGTAAAGCTCGGTTTCCATACAATCGCTACACCGTTTTTCACTGCAAATCCCGAAACAATCGGGAAGACTCCCAGATTCGACCGACCATGGAATCGGCATCACCGAAAGCTGTCGTCGATAGCGTGTAGCAATTGTATGGAAACCAAGCTTTAAAAAAACTGTAGCGATAATGTAGCGATTTTAAGGAAACCACGCTTTATCTTCAGGTCCCGATATAACGAATATACTGAATGCACGATTTTCTAGAATGGAATTTGTTGTGTACTTCGGCAGACCTCAACCACTCCCCCTTCATACTAAGTGTGTAGGCCTATGTGGAAGGGCCCTGTGAATTAGTAATATTTTAAATACTGTGTGGACTTGTGCTGATTCATATATTTGTACTTTGACTTCTAGGAGACGATGAGCTTTTCCAGTCAGTGTTGTCGCAAGTGGCCGAGCAGTTTACAAAGTTAGTTATATTTATATTTTTATGACAAAAAATGATAATTATAAATATTTTCTATTTCAAGGCCACTTCTGAAATACTTTTTTAAAAATGTTTAATCAATTTATTTTTTGGGAGGAGTGTTTAAATGTAGATATTTCTGGTTTTTACGTGTTTAGCCTGTGATGATTTATTATGACTCACTTCATTATCATTTTTGGTTCTATTACTCCCTGAAAAGCAGTAGGCCTACGTATACATAGAGTATACAAGGTGTGTGTCGTTATATTAAAAGCTACAGTAATGAAAGCAAAACTAGGCTCCACTTTCAAAATAAAAAAGTATATGTATAAAATCAATATGAACTTAACTCTTTGTACTTTAATGTTTGCCCATTTTGCGTTTTATCGCTTATATCAGCAGAGCAGACTCTGTCGGTGTGATCTACATAAATCCGCGCTTTCCAACGTTCAACAATAGTTTTGTTTGCATAGCAGCTATTTTAATGTAATTAGCAATGTTCATCAGTGATAAGAAAACGAAATTTTATTTCGAAAGAAATACAAATGGTTACGCCTGTATTATAATGAGGTGGATGTGATTTGATATTGGCGTATTTCACATCATATTATAGTATTGTTAATACAGCGTTAATCCGGATATGATCTTTTTCTTAAGGGCTTTTGGAGTAAATGAACTGAAAAAAGAGGTTCAAGAAAGACTGAATACGTTAGAGAAGAGGATGGAATGTAAGTAATATACAAGAATAAGAATTATTTATTATGAACTCAATAAAATAACAGTCAGTGACGGATACAGAATTTTTAATCGGGTGGCGTGAGTGGCAGTCGAGGATGTCCGAAAAGAGCCGAACCAATGGCCGAAGTAAAGGAACGTTTCTGGGGATCCATGGCAATTTTCGGAGTTTTAGCCATTTTAATCTTTTATCTAAATGATTTCACAGTTGGTTAGAGATTTGTTGGATGCTGGCAGGGGGCGGGGTGGGGTGGGGAGTTATTGCCCCTTTTAACACCCCTCTATCCACCACTCAATAATATCGTCTTCAAATGTTTTAAGATAGTTATTGCCCCTTTTAACACCCCTCTATCCACCACTCAATAATATCGTCTTCAAATGTTTTAAGATTTAAAAAAATGTATTTGTTTAAATTTTAGTTGAAGGTATGAAGGCAATTGATATTGAAAAATGTAAATTGGAAATTGCCAAGTTGAAGGAAATGATGGTTAACAGGGAAGTGTAAGTAACAGTTGTTTTTTAAAATTTATTCTTAATGGTATTTGCAAAACGAATAACTCTATGTTCAAACCAGGTTAGGAATACAATTAAAAAAAATATATATTTTAGGAAAAATTATACGAAACTATATTACCATACATTTTTTTTTATTTACAGTTTATGACTTGCTATATTGCACATTAAAGAGTGAATGTTTAGATAAAAGGTTCTGGCACTCTCAAATTAGGAAATTATTAGTATTTATAAAAAATAAGTTTTCAATAATTAAAAAAAAAGCCCACGTCTGTTTTAAAGTAGGGATAGGAAACCTTTCAGATATTGCATCGAGACAATATTATCTAAGATAGACATGTTGTTGAAGATGAGATTGAAATCTGTCATTAGTTAAAGCACCTGAATGGCTTCTAGATTGTAATTAGTATTCTATTGTGTTTCTGAAAATTCTATTATAGTGAAACATTCGATATGACAAAAGTGATGATAAATGCTCGAAGGGACGTTCCAAAATATCACAAGGTAAAGGACAAAGTATTAATATTCAAAAGGCATATTATTATACAATGAAAATGACAATCAGTATACCGTATGATAACTGTGGTATCTTAATGTTCAATGGATTTAATCTGATTATCTGGATGTAGTACCGGTGTGCATTAATTTTTTTTTTGTTTAAAAGAGAAGCTTTAAAACTAGAAATGTGCTGCAGATATTTATCTAAAAAAACAATTCAATACTGTTTCAGTACACTTTATCAGAAGAAACTATCCGATACCTCCGGAATCCGACCTTTGACATCTGGCATTGGGAGCCGAACGAGGTAATATTTTACGTATACTGTAGACAAAATTTATAAAAATGCAAATGCATATTTCAGAAATAATGATATTCCAATTATAGGCCTATAGCATTTCTATTCAATGGACCTTCCGCTAAGCCCCGCCCCTTGGATATTGTTGCTATGGTCCACAAAACGACAGCGTAAAAATAAATGTTCGCGTATATTATACGCGAACACGTGCATTTGTGGGACAACACGTGTGCGTGTTTGTAGGACACGCGTATTCTTGACCCTGTTCTGATAGGTCAGTTGTTTGATTGACACTCCGCGGAAAGATCTATGAAAGATCGCATTCATCCTTCTTGTGCTAAAAATATAAATATCCTATTCTAGAAATCAGTTAATTTTAATGCTATAAGCAAAGAGTATAGAACTACAAGAGGTCTGACTCCCGGTGTTTCGTTGTAACGTAATCCTATTTCAAAAAGTACTACACCACAAACTAGAGATAGGTCGATAGATATTTATTGGAAAGCACTTTTGTAACAGCGGCACACGTTAGACAATACTTAAAGTCTATCAAAAGGCGATTTTCGAAATCTATTCGAATTCTAATAGGGCACCCCCTATCTCGTGGTAGTATTTTTAACCAAAGATCAAAGATCTTATAAACACAAGATAGCGTTCTCCGCGATTTACGCGTGCAAATTCTGTAATAAGGCATGAATGGCGCCCTCTTGCTAAATTGGAAACTTTTGACCTTTGACCGCTATGGCCATACTGTACTGTGAACAGCAGAACAGGAACCATCTCAAATCCATGGCAACAGATAGGACGCCCTCTTCCAAAACTTATTACTTTTTCTCTTTGGTATAATAGCGCATGAATGACGCCCTCTTGCTAAATTGGAAACTTTTGAACCTTGACTGACGCTTCTATTTGTTACGCGTAAATCGCGGAGAACGCTATCTTGTGTTTATAAGATCTTTGCCAAAGATCCTATAAACACAAGATAGCGTTCTCCGCGAATTACGCGTAACAAATAGAAGCGTCGGTCAAGGTTCAAAAGTTTCCAATTTAGCAAGAGGGCGCCATTCATGCGCTATTATACCAAAGAGAAAAAGTATTCAGCTTTGGAAGAGGGCGTCCTATCTGTTGCCATGGATCTGAGATGGTTCCTGTTCTGCAGTTCACAGGATTGATACCGCGGTGTTCGGTATGGTCAGAGCGGTCAAGGGTCAAAAGTTTCCAATTTAGCAAGAGGGCGCCATTCATGCCTTATTACAGAATTTGCACGCGTAAATCGCGGAGAACGCTATCTTGTGTTTATAAGATC